TTTATCGGGAGGACTTGCCACAGAGAGAGAGAGAGAGAGAGAGAGAGAGAGAGAGAGAGAGAGAGAGAGAGAGAGAGAGAGAGAGAGAGCATAGCCTGTGGCAAGAGAGAAAAGCTTTTATTGGGCGGACTTGCTGGTGTTCGCAATTGAGGAAGGCAACAGCACATTGCTGCAAGAGAGTCACTTTGTTGTATTTGGTGTTATTTTTCAGTGTGCTGGCCTTGGGAGGCTATGCCAGAGTGGGAGCGACCTGGAGAGTGGCATCGTGCTTTGGAGAGGTGGTGTGTGAGAAGAGAGCCGTGTAGCTAGTAGTAGTTGATATCTAAGTCACTGTAGAGGTGGCGCTTGAGGAGAACCGAAGCCTGGCACAGGAAGAGGGGAGAAGACACTTCAATGTTGCATGCATTGATTATATGTCAGAGTTTTTTCTCCTCAGCCTCTTTTCCTTCCTGTTGTCTAGTCATCTCACACCATTTATATCTCTTCTGAATTGTCAGTCATCTGGGCTTTGTAAGAATCATGGTGCGCGATGATGATGCAAGCTTCTGACATCGGGTTCGTTGCAATACGCTAACGAAACGACAGCCTCATTACCTCCCTTGAGTGGTGGTGCTGGAGGAATGGGAGAGAAGCTTCTGACATTGGGTTCAGCTTCTGACATCGAGATCATTGCAATATGCTAACCAAACGACAACCTCATTACCCCCCCTGAGTGGTGGTCCTTGAGGAAGGGAGAGAAACTGCTGGACTTTGTTGTGCGGTGGGATTTTGGTGATCGGTGAGAGGTAGGGGAAGGTGGCTTGGACACTTGTTTGGTGTTGAGAATCGATGGGCTGTGCATTGTTAGATTCGACGGGCGGTACTCGGCAAGAGGTTTGTCGTAGTGCCATTGTCGTTCTGACCGGGCACTGGTCAGGATAAAGAACCGTTGAGCAGACCAGAGTTGACCAGGAGCAATTGGTTGTGGTTTTCGCCATTGTGTCGTGGTTTTCGCCAGGCTCAGGAGGGAGCTAAGTACCTTTATAGTGATCTGATTGCCTGCCTTGACTGCAATGGTCTTGCCCTGGGGTATCGCTGACCTTTGGTGGGCATAGTAATCACACTGCCCTTGGCTATGAAGTCTCGAGTCTTCTTGTCATTAGGTCTTTGATTGCTGTCATCATTGTTCAGCATTGCCGTTCCATTGTTAGGCGATGTTAGTGCTGTGGTTAGAGATTATATTAGCCTGGATTAAGCTTGATTAAGTTTGGGTTAAGCCTGCTTCCATCTTTTATCAGAGATCTGAAGTGTCTACAATCGTTTGAGGCTGTGGAACATATTGTTGATTGATTAATTAGTGGTGTAGTGTGGGACCCCCTGTTAACTGGGGTTGTGCTGCTCCGTCGTCCAGATCCTGCCCGATAGCCGAGTCATTGAAGGCATGGGTGGTGAAGGAAGTGCATGCTTCAGGAAGATAGACATGGATCTTGACCCGGGGGAGATGATGATGTTTGCCATTAGGAAGAAAAAGGGGGTGAATGAAGCACCTGTTGTTTATGATGATGTGACTGCTGGGTAGTTGCTTCTTGAAGATGATGATGTTGGCCATCAAGAAGAAAAAAGGGGGGAGGGTTAATGAAGTCTTTATGGATGTTGTTAAACCACAACTCCCCCCGCCGGCCGAAATTAGCCTTCCCTGGCCACACGGTACGGGTTTGGCGGGGGGTCGGCGAGCGTTCGCGCAGAAAACGGGGAAAAAAACAAATGCACGAGCGAAGCAAAAAGAGAAAGAAAAAAAAAAGCAAAGAAATGACATTTTGAAACATGGAACACGAACTGCAAAACGCACTGGCATGTGTAGCACTGCGCTGCAGAAAATGGCTCACGCGGAAAGGTGTCCACGGCTGGCAGAACGCTCTGCAGGAAAAAGGCCAGGCTTTACTATTTACCAAACCCACTTATTGAGACTGAATCTTCCACTGGAAGATGTACAGATACGCAGCCATATTGTTTGTCTTTCAGTGCGTTTGCAAGCAGAAGGTTCCGTGTTGAAAGAAAAATATGGTTGTGCATCTTTCCATTTTCTAGCGGAAGATTTGTTCTCATTTTGTGGGTTTGGTGATTAGTGGAGCCCGGCCCTTTTGCTGCAGCGCAGTCCGGCTGTCGCGGACTCACCATCCCTACACTAGTTAAATCGCTAACGTGACAAATCCAAAATTCGTGCCACCGTCCATCCTACCGGCCCACGGCCCAGATCGACAGAACCATGTAACAAATCTGCCATCTGGGCCGTCGGGTCCTACCAGGCCGACGGCCTGGATGCGGTCATAAGAAAGACCCAACCTTCACCTACAGGTATATGTTGTAGTAAAGCGACATTGTGAACAAACTGCTGCTCAAGATATTGCGCAGTATGAGAAGAATCGTTTCGCAGAATTAGGGAAGTGGACGTTCAGGAAGATTGGAATCTCTACGATAGAACTTGAAATTGAATGGTGGGAGTATGAGAGAATGTGTGGCGGAAACCAGCATCGCAACAGTATTTGGGTGGTAGTGTTGCGGGAGCTTTAAGTTCCGGGGTCGAAGGTCAAGCTGGGCATGTGGAGAAGTCTCGAGGTAAATAACTTTGGGTGCAAGGTCCAGACTGAGTCCCCAGGGTTTGGAAAAGTCGGGCCACGCCTGCTGTTTTCCAAGAGATCCAAGAGACACAGATTTTGGGCAGTTTCAGAGGGTTGTCATGCGGTGGGTGCAATTCCCACAGGCAGTATTGGGTGTCGGAGCATGTAGAAAAGTAGACGAACCTGGTGCTGCATGACGGGATGAGCATGTAAGCAGCTTATTTTATTTATGTATGCGCGCTCATCCACGCGTCCCCCCGGACGCGGGGGTGGGGTTAGTGTCTTATTGGCCGCCTGACCTGACGGTTGGTTGCCAAAAAAGCAAACGAACCTGGTGCTGCATGACGGGATGAGTATGTAGAAAAGTGATCGAACCTGGTGCTGCATGAGGGGTTGACAGCCGTAAGCAGGCTGTGTAGCTAAGTTGTCGCTTTTTCGCGGATGGGTGATGGATGTGTGGGCGCGTCCGTCTTTCGAGTGCACGCGAGCATAGTGGATGGATGTGTGCCTGCAAGTAGTGGATGGATGTTTCCGTTCGCATGTGTTGGAATGCCGTTCAAGTGGATGGTGGGCGTTTCCCACTCAACCGCACAGATGAGCAACTAAACTGCTGGCATCGAGAACCTTGACTTTGTTTTAGTGGGGCCTTGCCTTCATCTCTACACAATCTTTGGAAAAATGTAATATGTTGCGGATCGCTTGGCAAGGCACACACATGCACGGCATACTGACAGTGCAGTCGAGTAAGCAGCATGTGCTTCTCCCTTTCCAGACAATGATCGCCACCACCCACTTTTGAGTGCCCAAATGTGACAACCCATTCATTGCAATTGTAGGGGCTGAGACAGGTTGTTGGGTTTAGTTGGAGGTCAGGTCGCACATCCACTACCTGTCCCGTCTGGCATTCCATAATGTCGTGCTTTTCTTTTCGACGAGTGGCAGTGGCAATTATGGCTCTTGAAGTTTGCCCTGGGCGTGCCCAGAATATGGTCCCTTGGCATATCTGCTGGGATGCATCTAGTGGAAGACCAGAAAATTGAGAGACAAGATTGAGAAGAATGAACTATGTGGGAGTGTGCAAAGTTGAGGCACCACCTAACCCCCTCCTGGTTGGCAGGGTGCGGTGCATGTAGATCGCGTGCGCGGTGGGAGTGGCAAGGGTGACATGCACAGAGCCCTACCGCCTCAGAGGTGTTCAGTCACTGATCTGTCAGGTGGGCTGGTGCCCCCCAGTGAAGCAATCAGGGAGGCGTGGTAGCTTCAGCGTTACTCGCCGGTAGCCGCCTTGGGTGGTGACGACGATGGTGGCCTACTGGAACTCTCTCACTGTGAGTTGCAGTCCAGCGCTTCCTGCGTCACTGATCGAAGCACGGGTGGGACTTTTTCTTTGCGATTTGAAAACCAAGCAATTGGGCATATCACGTAAACCGCGGGCTATGAGACATTTTGAAGGCGTTGACCCTCTCTTGCAGAAAAAAAAAGAGGGAAACAGACTTGATGTGTGCATGTGTGGGACTTGCATTTCCCTTGGTGGTGGTGTTTGATGAATTTGATGAAACCTGTGACATCATTTCATGTGAAAGGGGTGTATGCGCGTTGACCATCCTACAGCAGTTTACAGCCTGATGATGAGAGCATGCAAGTCGCTGTCTTCAGATTACCACCGGACTGTATCAGTAAAAGCGCTTGTGGTCCCCACCAATGGCAATATTGTAGAGTTGGGACAGGAAAGCAATGCCGGGATGCTGGGCAGCGGCTTACGTTCTGTGTGTGTCTTTGTGGGGTACACTGTAATAAAGAGGTTTTGGGCCTGGGAGAGGGCCAATTCTATGTGTGGTGCGTGTTCTCTCGGTCTTTTCGGTGCCCCTTTGTGTTGCATCTTCTGATGGATTGGCAGTGTGTGCTCTTCATATTATGCGTTTTGTGCTGGACTGCCTGTCAAGCAGGATTTCCAAGTTTTGTTTTGTCCCTTTGATGTCTGCTCTATTTCAGATCTCAGGGGACTGAGGTGGCCGAGAATGGCCCAAGGAGGAACCGAACGAAACCGGTCATGGCATCCATGCTGTCGACTTGGAACTGCAAGGGCTCTTGGATTGCCGGCAATGCGACAGCGAAGGACAATAAAAGTGATGGCGTCGTCGCTGTGGCAGAGCACGCAGAAATGATTTGATGATGATGACGATGATGAGGAGGATGATGATAAGGATGATGATGATGATGTTCCAGTTGATTGGTGGAAGCAGATATAATACCCAAAAAAAATGCACTCGTATGATATAATATCCCCCACGGTGAGCGGTTTCTGCCACCTGATGCATGCAGGCTCTCAAGACATTCATTGATGCAATAGATTCTTATGCCAACCTTTCTTGGGGCTGTGGCTTGTCTTTGTCATTCGATTAGATCGGTGCAGAGGCTGCCTCGTCGATGACAGGATGACGCGTGCTTTTCTGCTAAGCACAGGGTGAAGGTTGTGGTCCTTTTCCAAGGTGCACAATGTCGCTGTAAGTATACTTTGGGTTTGTGTTGTGTTTTTGAATTTTTTTTTTTTTGTTTGCAGAATTTTCTGTAGAACATATTGACAAGATCATCAGCTAGGGCTGTGTATCAGGGGAGACATGCGCTAACCATGGTTCCTTACCGTGGAGGCTTCGGAAGGAAGAGGACAGTCAGTTTGGTGGGGACTGTTCCGTCGTCTTCTTGAGTCCTGTGGAGGCTTTGGAAGGAGAAGAGGATGGTTGGTGGTCAGTTCCATCGTCTTCCCCTCTTTCGTGGCAAGGTTAAATAACTGCAGTCTTTCCTTTTTAGCTTTGCATTTGACAAATGCAATAAAGAGTATTTGTTCGGACTCGGGAGTTTGTTTGCATGCCGGGCCTGGCACTCTTCACAATGTGCCGTCTGCTTTTCCGGCGTGCGCAACGTTGCGGCGAGCGGGCGGTGTTGTCGGAGGATTGTCGTTGAAGCACACTTGGGTGTAGTTTTTTGTTCGACTGATGGACACACATTTGTGTTTTGCGTAGTGTAAGGTGGTTGTTTCCATAGGATCTAGTCATCTAGGATCTCAGATGTGGGGGCAGGACAACGCGTTGTTTCCGTAACTTTATGTAGTGTGGTGAGGGATTGTTTTGCAAAGCGCACTCTTTTTAGTTGTTAGTTTATATAAATATGACAACAGACAGATATCTGTTTGAAAATATACATATCCTCTGTTTGACTATATACAGCCTCCTGATGAGTCGGTGAAACTCCGACGAAACAGTTTGTCACAGCCCCTCGTTTGTTGTCCTCTTCTCTCTCTCTGCCTACGGTTTACCAAGCAGTTCTATTTGTGACGATATATAAGCATATAAGCATATATGATATATACATATATCATTTGTATTTGGACAGGCATGTGCCTAGGTTTGAGGATATGACTTGGTTAATTAGTGACTCTGTAGTCGACAGCATTTTCCCCGTAATTTCTCCAGAAATTGATAAAATTGGTGGGGGGCTTCTGTCAATGGCAGTTGGTGCTGGTAGGACATGCCGTCCACCGCCTATAGGTCAAGTAGGTGCTGTAATGATAGAGCACAGGCGAGCATCATCAAAAAGGTTACCTGGCTTGCTGTATTATGAGCGCTGTGTCGTGGAGGGTGGTTGATGAGGGCCCTGGCTTGCACGGGCTAGTGCTCTGCATTAAGGATGAGCGATTGGGTGAGAAATGCTTTTTCTTTTCTTTCTTGTTTTTTTTTATAAGTCTTTTCTGCCTTATTTCTTACGCAATTGTTTTTTGTGTATTGGTCGACGGTGCTGAGGTTGCATCTTAATCTTTTTTTTTTCTCTCTGGTCTCTGCATTCTTCACTGTCTCACCTTGCACCCCCCCCCCAACTCACCTATGAGCCTCACATGCTTTTGCTGTCTACCGGTTGTGTGGGTACTGAGGTGCCCTTCGTTTGTTGTTTTGTTTTGTTCCCTTTGTCCCCCCTCCCCCCTCCCCCTCCTCACTCTCTTTTTTTTTGGTTCATTGAAGTGCATTCCTCTTCTTGTTTCTGTCGTTTGTTTTTGTGAGTCTATATGGGGATGAGGAGGTGTCATCGGCAGAGGTAGACGTCGTGGCCCCATGTCGTACTGCTGCTTTCAATGTGGTGTGTGTTGACGATCTGATTATCTTGTCTGTCTGCTGCACCTTTGTAGCAACCTCCCTCTGGTGCCATATCTTTGTCAAAGTTGGTGTCGATATGGTTGTCGTGGGCAGAGCCATGCTAATTTAGCGTCGACATGACACCCCAGTGCTGGCTGCCCCTTGAAGGATGACCACGGTCACTCTGATTTGCAGGCCCGCAAGAGGAGGGGCAGGTTTCTTCCAGACTTTTTAAGGCGCGGCATGTGATGCCTTCTGAAGGAAGGTTTAACATATACAGTGCGTGCGCTCACTTGCAGCAAAACTGTTTGTGGGCGTGGTGGATGCTTTCTTTCCTGGCAAGTTGTCTTGGTCACCTTAGCTGTCACGGTCAGGTTGGTCTGCAGTGAAATGATGAAAGACGGTGCTTTACGGTTTCCGGAATTTTTTTGGGGAGCCATTCCGATATTGGTGCATGCTGGCGGGTTGTGCTTCGTGCACTGCACATGCACTTGAGATATCAGTAGCCGATTTTGCTGTGTTCTATCTGTCAAGCCATGATGCTGATGATCCTTTTCTTGCAGATTGCACGTTATTGGTCTCCTGCAGGCGGCCATTGTACTTCATTTTTATTTTTTGTCGAGGGCTACCCGCCTTTTTGTTTTTGTCGAGGGCGGCCCGCCTTTTTCTAAATGCAATTGTTGCTTTCGATTGCTCTCTCCTTCTCGAGGGCTGGTTGGTAGGTCTCGATGCAATTGTTGCATTTGATTGCTCTCTCCTTCTCGAGGGTTGGTTGGTAGGTAGTCTCTCATGATTTGCCCAACTCTTTGGAGACGGACCCTTCAAGCAAGCGACCGGTGCAGAGGAGTGGGCGTGTCTTCGATTCACACTGTGAATTTTTTTTTTTTTTTTTTGTGTGTGTGTGTGTGTGTAGNGAGAGAGAGAGAGAGAGAGAGAGAGAGAGAGAGAGAGAGAGAGAGAGAGAGAGAGAGAGAGAGAGAGAGAGATTGGGTGTAACTACGTTGAGTCTCATGAATTCTCGTGTTCCGTTTGTACATGAAGGAATGGTGTAGTATGTGTCCATTCAGGGAATTAGGAGGGGTATAGTATGGCAGTGGTGTGGTGGGGGATTTCCGTGTGAAATGATGTTGCACTATGGTGTCTTTTGGTGGATCTCGATAGGAAGAGCTGATTTTTTCCAATTCTTTCAAATTTCCCAAGGCAGGCATTTTGGTCCTGTATAAACACGCACTAGAAGGTCTGCTGTGAATCTCACGTTGTCAACCCTCGTGTTATGGCAAAAGCGGGGGGACGGAGTGGGGTTAGGAGGGGCAACTGGAGGGGGGGGGAGGATTTAGGCAGGGATGTGATATTTGCAGAATGGTTCTGTAGTGTCTTTTTTGGAGATCTGGAAGCAGAATTTGGCTATTGGTTCTGCTGGAGGAGTTTTGTAGAGTGTTTTCTGTACCCACAGCTGTAGTTTTTGTTCTGTTCTTTCTTCAAAGCTTTCTTCCGTTCGAGCCTGCCCTAGCGCATGCCTGCGAGACTGGTTTCGCAGCGCCCTGTAAGGTTCGTCCCTGCTTGAGCTGAGTGATAGCCGCTTGACCCAAGGAACGTCGTCCTTTTACGAGAAAGCTGGCTTTTGTTCTGATGCTTGTGCACACGGTATATATGGAAACTCTGTCTGTACAGAGACTTTGCAGTCGGTTACGCATCCAGGCATGATTTCAAAGGCGCGAAGCACTGCCCCGCATTTTCTTTCCCCTGGTGAAAAAAACTTGTATCGTTCCAATTTTATGTACAGAGACTTTGCAGTCGGTGATGTAGGTTCATGCTGTAGCGAGGTTTTGTGTACCGGGTCTGCATTGTTTTCATGTTTTTCTTGTTTATCTTCTTGTATGTATTCAGGGGTGTTTTTTTTTTTTTTTGTTGTTGTTGTTGTTTTTTTTTTTTTTTAAATTTGGACCATTTCTCGACTTATGCGTGTCATCCTTGCGCAGGGGCCATGCTAATCTTCTGTGTATTGTTCCAATTTTAACGGATGTCCTGAAGGACTGGGGGTGTTTCCAGTTTGCATTGCGTTGGAATCTGTTGTTGAATGTCCTCTTCTCACAACGGCATTGACAGTCGGTTGCACGTGTCGTATTGATGCGCTCTGCTTCTGCTGCAGGTTGGTGACAGGGGGTCACAGCTGTCGACCCTTGTGGTGCTTTGTGAGGATCAGTGCGTATGTATGTGCTTGTGGGTGTGTATCTGTGTGGTGCATTTTGGCATCTTCCTCTTTTCTCTCCTCCCCCACATCGTGCTCCCACCTCTTGCCTCCCCCCCCGTGCACGGCCCCAAATATGCGACACACCTACGATTTGTCAAACGACAGTGGCGCCAGAGAAAAAAATGTGATGGACGCAATGATCTCTTTAGACACACCAGTGTCTTGCGATGTTTGCTTTCCCGTTTTTTGCTTTTTCCGCTCGTCTCGCCTGTTATCTGTAATTGCATGTTCTGTTGGATTGCATATCTATCAGAGGTAAGTCCGGAGTTCGATAAGTCTTTGCGATAAGGCTGATTCCCAATATCTCATTTCATCTCTTTTTGCGAGGAGCAGAAGTCTGAGGAGCAAATGCATCCCTCCGCTATGGAAGTGGCTTCAGCGCGGTTTGCAGCAGTGTCGAAGAGGTTGTGTGTGTCTTTGTGACGTGTACCCTGCAGTTGGTGCCGATGTTGCGAGTCCTCGATTATCGTGTCATTGCTTTGTTGATGCCATGGCTTGTAATCCCTGTGTATTAGGGGATAACCTCTCCAGACTGAACTGTACACACAATGCTTTCGGTGGAATTTAACCGCGACCAACACCAGTTTTACTCAGCAACGTGCCTTCCAGTGTGAGTGGAGGGGGGGGAGGAGGTGAGGAAGGAGGAGACGTATAGCGTCAGCAGAAATGATGAATAGCAGTGGTGAGTGAGGAGGGAGGAGGAGGGAGGAGGAGGAGATGGAGCAGGTGAATGCTCGTGTCAACAACCAAACAAATGGCAAGATGGAAACGACAGCAGGACCTGGAGGACTAGGGTGGTTTTTTTTTTTTTTTTTTTTTTTTTTTTTTTTTTTTTTTTTTTTTTTTTTTTTTTTTTTTTTTT